TTCTGAAGGGGTTTCAACAGTGGTAGGCATTGTCACAGCCGTGGAAGTAATATTTGAACGCAGATTATAATTAAGTGCACCTGGCATCAGAAATAGTATACACAAAAATAAACACAAAAAAATATCAACTTGGCTAAAGTAAAAATGGCAGAAATAAAATTATTAAATTGGGCTAGGCAAGAAAATAATTAAGAACAAGCAAATTGTAAACTAAATTTAGCAATCTTTCATTAAAAAATGACTGGAATTAGATGTATGTAAATTAATTAAACCAGACTAAGCACAGCAATTTAGAATAAAAACTGGGAAATGCAATTGCAAAATTTCATTAAAAAGATTCAACACAACAAGTGGCAATGCAAGAAATATGGATGTAGCACATAAACTGGACACAGGAATGTATATAACTCCTATGGTAAAAGTTTAAAATAAAATGCTTAAAGGATAAATTTCAAGTTAGGTCTGGAGAAATATAAAAAAAAAAAAATTATATTGCACAAATCCTTAACTGCTACTAAAACAAGGATTTCTTAATTCACTGGAATTTGAATTTACCAATAACACTCTAGGAGAACAATTAAAATTCAATGAAATTACTGTAAGAAGCAGGAATGTTGAAATCACACAGGAAAACTGTGGGGAGTGCAGTACTGAACCAGCTCCAATATTTAACAAGTCACTGAATGGTTAATTCACAGGATATTATGGGAATTATTACATAAGTCACTTTTTAACACTTGGCACGTTGTTCTCAACTAGCAATTACTTATCTCAGGGTTGTAATTTATGAGGATCACCAGTAGCCAAAGTAGGAGAAGCGTCGTGAAGATCTGAAGAGGCCCATGTGAGGCGTGTTTACAAACTGGATGCGACGGCAGCGCTCCTGGCGGCGGTGGCGCGAGACTCAGGGACCCCACACTGTTCAGGCTAGAAGCACGAAGATAAATTCTGACGACGACAATATTGCGACGATGGAATAACCAGTTGATACTTGCGACGATGGCTGACGACGATTGCAGTAGCTTGCACCCTCACGAAGCTTGATACTGTCAGCTTGGGTGGCGGTGGTGGTGGTGGTTGCACTAGGTGGTTCCCACGTGGTGGCGCGAGGTTCAAAAATGGCTGGCGCGGGAAGCTTCCTTCCTCCTCACTGATGAGTGAGCGTTCTCACAGGAAAATATTGACCCTTACTTCTGAAACGTTGGCCTGGAGTAGTGGTTGATGGCAGGACCCCGGTCTGGCACAATATTTGATGCGTGGGTGGCAGGATGGCGGCTTATGGCGGTGGCGGTGGCGGCGGTTTTGGCTGGAACACGAGGCGATGCTGGGTACTTGAACTTTTGCTTCCAGAAAAAAATTTCTGGATCCCACTGCTGCTACCAGTATTCGTTTGCCTTGTTCGGGTTGAATGTAGACACAGTAGTCGCTTCTGTATATATTTATTGAGTGAGGCAAACAGGTGTATAACTGGCCAGCCGAGGTCCACCTACTCTGGGTCTGTGAGGATAACTGAGGCTGCTGGGAGCATGCTTGATGCTCCTCTGTCTGGCATGACGTCAGAGGCCTACTTGCCTGTGATTGGTTACATTTCAACTGACAGAATTTGAGTATAACAAAAGTGAAAATTACTGTTTGTTAGGCTTTTATATTTGGGTTAACGTCGTATTATATGTTTAGAGTTAGACTGTACTTGGGTGTTTATACAACTCATTTTATAATTATTAAAAACTATCATTAGGTTAGTCTGGGGGTGGGTTAGGTACGTTTTAAAATCTGTCCGAGGCACGAAGCAGCCTGTATCTTTGTTGCATAAAAGAACAAAGCACTTGCAGATGCTTACACTTTGATTCTGTTTGATTCTGGGGAACAGGCAGCCATGGTAGGTAGGTATGTATGTATGAATGTAATGTATGTACAGTATATATGTATGTATGTACGTCCATCCGTTTGTATGTATGTATATATGTACTCATCTAGTTGTGCTTGCGGGGATTGAGCTTTGGCTCTTTGGTCCTGTATCTCAACTGTCAATCAACTGGTGTACAGATTCCTGAACTTCTTGAGCTCCATCATATCTACATTTGAAACTGTATAGAGTCTGCCTCCACCACATCACTTCCTAGTGCATTTCATTTACTAACTACTCAGTACTTTCTAATGTCTGTGGCTCATTTGGGTACTCAGCTTCCGCCTGTGTCCCCTTGTGCATGTAACTCCCCATGTTAAATAATCCATCCTTGTCTATCCTGTCAATTCCCTTGAGAATTTTGTATGTGGTGGTGATGTCTCCTCAAGAGTTATTGCATTGTCAATGCTATATTAAATGACATTTTCTGGGGGGAGCCCCTTTGGCTCCCTGGAGCTATCCAGGCTGATATGGCTAATGTTAGACGTTGGCGTATGGAGTTCTTTAGGCCTACTGAGGACCACGTGACCACGAGCACCACGAGCCAGAACCTGGCTCCCTCAGAAATGCACAAGGAGCAATGGTATATAGAAACCCCCGTGTGGTTGGAAGCATTCTATGTCTCCCATTGACCGGGTCAGGCACCCAGAAAGGTAAGCATCCCAAAACAAACCCCTATTCTGGTTAAGAAATTGCTACTTAATTAATGCCAAATTAATGGACTTAGTCCATTAATTCCCCTAACAAAAACGAGCTAACGAGCATGACGTAGTCCATTAATTTCCCTAACAAAAACGAGCTAACGAGCATGACGTCACCAAGTCGCCACGCTGCCGTCTGCGCAGCTTCCCCCCCCTCCCCTGGAGGGAGAAGGGGGAGCCCCTGACTCTCGCGCCGGCTACCCAAGACCCCAGTTCTGAGGCTGATGCGCTAGGCATCGGGTTGGAGTGCTTCATGCTCTCCTTCGGGGCCAGGGTTTCTGCTCTTTTGGTTCTCGTGATAGGTTTGTTCGCTTGCAGCCATCTTCTTTTCTGGCGAAAACTGCCACCGCAGCTTTCCGGAGGGGTCCTTGAGTTGTTGATGCTTGGTTGGTCTGGCCGGGGGTGCATCATGTGTTGTGTTCGGTGGCGGTGCTTCCCCGTTCTTTGCGTGCCATGACTGCTGTGACCGGGGTCACGCTTTGGGTTGCTTCGGTTGCCCTTTTAACCTGTTCCAGGGTGCAGTTCTCTCGGGTCATCTGTGGGGTGGTTCGGTCCACCCAGCCTGCAGTCTATCCTCATGCCCACAACGTTCGTAGGTTGGCTACGCTTTCCTTCGTTGAAGTTCCTCGGCCTTGTCGGGCCCATGTGGCCTTGGGTTGGTGGTTGCAGTCTTTTGTCTCTGCTTCGCGTTGGGGAGTGAGTGACATACGCCTTCTGGGTAGGTCCCTCTTGTTTTCGTCTTTAGGTAGGTAGCTCCGGGGAGCTGACAGGGCTTCCCCCAGAAAACTAGCATTGAATGTACATTAATAAAACACCATTTTCTGGGTGAGACCCGGAGGCTCTCCGGCAACCCTCCCTCCCTCCGGTTGGCGGTTTTTCGTGTGCTTTGATGTCCAGCCTCAGAACTGGGGTCTTGGGTTACCTTGGGTTACCAATAGGGGTTTGTTTTGGGATGCTTACCTTTCTGGGTACCTGTTCCCGGTCGATGGGAGACATAGAATGCTTCCAACCACACGGGGATTTCTAAAGGCCATTGCTCATCGTGCTTCTTTGAAGGGTGCGAGGTTTTGGCTCGTGGTCCCTGGTAGGCCTAAAGAACTCCATACACATGACTGATGCCAAAGTCTGACATTAGCAATATCAGCCTGGATAGCTCCAGGCTGATAATAATCAGAAAATGGCGTTTCATTACATTCAACGCTGGTTTTTTGTACATTGTCAATGCTGTATTAATGACAAAGCATTACAAGTCTTTACTATTTATACTTCACTCAATCTGGTCATAAACCTGAATGTATTCATATGACAGTACTATTGATCTTGCTTAGAGTGTCATGATTTACCTTTAGGTAACAGCTGGGCAACAAGATATCGTTGGTATGACCAAGTTACTTTCACCATGTGTGATATAATTTGTATTGTGTTTTGAGTTGCATTTGGATCATTAGCTATCACTAGTCTTAATGCTCAAAATATTTTTAGTTGTGATCTTGTCACTGATAATGATATGATACTGGCCTATGCTGCTTGAATACAGTCCCCTGGTGCACTGTGTGGCTTGAATACAGTCCCCATTGTGCACTGTGTGGCTTGAATACAGTCCCCATGGTGCACGGTGTGGCTTGAATACAGTCCCCATGGTGCACTGTGTGGCTTGAATACAGTCCCCATGGTGCACGGTGTGGCTTGAATACAGTCCCCTGGTGCACTGTGTGGCTTGAATACAGTCCCCATGGTGCACTGTGTGGCTTGAATACAGTCCCATGGCGCACTGTGTGGTTTGAATACAGTTCCATGGTGCACGGTGTGGCTTGAATACAGACCCATGGTGCACGGTGTGGCTTGAATACAGTCCCCCATGGTGCACTGTGTGGCTTGAATACAGTCCCATGGTGCACTGTGTGGTTTGAATACAGTTCCATGGTGCACGGTGTGGCTTGAATACAGACCCATGGTGCACGGTGTGGCTTGAATACAGTCCCCCATGGTGCACTGTGTGGCTTGAATACAGTCCCATGGCGCACTGTGTGGTTTGAATACAGTTCCATGGTGCACTGTGTGGCTTGAATACAGTTCCATGGTGCACTGTGTGGCTTGAATACAGTTCCATGGCGCACTGTGTGGTTTGAATACAGTCCCATGGTGCACTGTGTGGCTTGAATACAGACCCATGGTGCACTGTGTGGCTTGAATACAGACCCATGGTGCACGGTGTGGCTTGAATACAGTCCCATGGTGCACTGTGTGGCTTGAATACAGTCCCCATGGTGCACTGTGTGGCTTGAATACAGACCCATGGTGCACTGTTTGGCTTCAATACTGTCCCTTGGTGCAGTGTTTTTTGTGTGTGCAGATTTGGAATATAAAGTTATTTTGTATGTATTATTTTGCAGATGACCAGCACAGACAAAGATTATCGTTTTATGGCCACAAATGATTTGATGACAGAATTACAAAAAGATTCAATCAAGTTAGATGATGACTCCGAGCGCAAAGTTGTCAGAATGTTGCTCAGGTTATTGGAGGATAAGAACGGGGAGGTGCAGAACCTGGCTGTCAAGTGGTGAGTGTTGTTTACGTGTTACTATCCTCATTACTGAAATAGTGTTTAAAAAGACATGAATATGTGAAACTGCGGAGTCTATTGGCCCGTGCAAGGCAGTCAGTTCCTGTTTATAAGTGTCCAGCTAACTCATGTAATGTGTTTGTTTAACCCATTTGTGCGGCCAATATAAAGTCAATTTCAAAAAATGAATACTGTACCATTTTGTGTATGCTTGCTGAAGGAGCTAGAAATGTTTCTATTTAAGAATTGCATATTTAAAGTACAGTACAGTAATTTATTATAGTACTCTACAGTCCATGAAAATGCAGCATTGTAGCTGGTTAAGTAAACATATGATATTGTAGTAGTAGGCATCTGTCAATCCCATGGGATTATGGAGTTGTGTCCTGTGTGTCTGGTTGGGTGTAAGTCTGCTGTGGCTGTTAAGTCTAACCCGAGAACGGCAGTCCCAACCAAAGCAAGTGCAGATAAACGCCAAAGCGGCTGCATCCGTCAGTTGTTGAGACTTTCCCTGAAGTCTTTTTTCCTCCGCCTGAATCTTCAGTTTGCTCTCGAATTGCTGGAGTCCCTTCTGCACTTTGCATCTCCAGGCTGATCTGTCCGCAGCTGCTGCCTTCCAAGTGTCGATGTTGATGTTCAGCTGCTTGAGGTTGTGTTTGCAATCGTCTTTGAACTGTTGCTGGGGCCTTCTGGTGGGCCTCTTTCCTGATGCCAATTCTCCATATAAGATACTGTATTTCCTGACATTTAACATAGGAAATATAGAAATTGGTTAGATGATCTAATAATTATTTCAGTTTTTTAAAATGCATAATTGGAAAATTAAATGTATATTTTTTGTAATATTTCAGTTTGGGGCCATTGGTAAACAAAGTGAAAGAGTTCCATGTGTATTCTATCGTGGAGTCATTGTGCGACCACATGGTGAGCGAACGGGAGCAGCTACGAGACATGTCCTCATTGGCCCTTAAGACTGTCATAAATGAACTTCCGGCATCATCGACAGCGCTAGTGGCCAACATCTGCAAGAGAGTTACCGACAGATTATCAGAGGCTATTGTCAGGGTTGGTTTGCTGTGTTTAATGTTACGCACTTCTTAACTCTGTACTGTACTTGCAATTGTTTGTGGAGTTAGCTACCATCTTGGCAGATCCAGTTCTTTGCTACTTACTAGCTGTAAACTTGATGCACATAATGTATGTTCCTGCTTTAATGGTTTTCCCCATCCTCTTTCACACATAGCCAAACATTGAATTGTTGCATGATGTGGCTTATACCACAGCCAAAATTATTAAAAAAATTTACATGGTCGGTAACTGCCCATCTTTGTCAACTACCCAGCCTGAACCTATCAAGCAATGTTGCACATGCTGATTCTCCATTTGGAATTAATTTGTGTCAGCCTTAAATTCAATATTTTTTAATTTAGATATATGCAGTGAGGAAAGGGGAACACTAGTTGGTGAAATATCCAAAGTAAAGCTCCTATGACATGATATTTTTGTCAACGTTATATGGATATCCTGTAATATTTAGAGTCGAACATGGCCTGGAGTACACACACCCCATTTACTGTTGCCTTGCACAGTGTTGGTTCACTGTAGTGCTCTCTCTCACAAATATTAGATAGCTCTTTACGGTAATGTTGAATGTCTCGGCTCAGATGTGAGTTGGAGTGGGTAGTGTGGCGTGTCTGGGATGCTGTCCTCTACATGCATTATTAGTTCAGTAACTCAGTTAACCTTAAGTGTTGGTCTAGGTAAATACAGTGCTGTAATGATATCAGGAATGCATTCCCCACAGGTACTTTATGAAATGATTTCTCATGTGCTGATCCAGCTTCCAAAATTTCAAAATGTCCATTACATTCATATAAGGGCTATTATAGGCATATTAACATAATGTACAAAGGGGCATTTATAATGAAAATAGTCACTTGGCAATAACCACAATAGTCTTAGAAAACACACGGTGATGGACTTCATTGTAAGGATTAAGTGTAACTATGAACAAAACAAAAGGTATGGTGGAAGATGGGAAGAAAACTGGATGACATGAATATAGTTCACTGAGCAGTGAGTAGGTACTTCTTAGGAGTTAGTCAGCTTGTTATGGGATTGCATCCTTGGTGGGGTCAGTAGTTCAACCGGGGGGGTGGGGGGAGTTCCTGAAGGCAGTTTTGATGTTAGCCAGCCTCGCATATGCTGCAGATGTTATTCTTTTGATGTGGGCTTCAGGAGACAGGGTTGGTGTGATATTAACTCTCAGATCTTTCTCTCTATCTGTTTCATGAAGGACTTCCTCCCCCATTCAGTATCCTGTGTCTGGTCTCCTGTTTCCACTGCTTAGTTTCATTACCTTACATTTACTCGGGCTGAACCTTAATAGCCATTTGTTGGACCATTCATTCAGTCTGTTTAGGTCATCTTGTAGCCTCATACTATCTTCCTCCGTCTTAAGCCTCCTCATAATTTTTGCATCATCAGCAAACAATGAGAGGAATGATTCTATATCATCTGGAAGATCATTTACATATACAGTATAGGAAACAGTATGGGTCCAAGGACTGAATCCTGCGGGACTCCACAGGTGACATCTCGCCAATCTGAGACCTCGCCCCTCACAGGGGCACCCTTAACAGGGTGTTAGGGGATGAGTGTGAGCAACACATGATACATGGTAAGGAACAAAATTGGGAGGCAGCCATTGTTAGGAAGGAGTGTATGTATGTATATATATGTACTGTATAAGATCATTTATGAGGAGCGCTGTATTCCTGATCATTATGAAGTGGTGTGGTGGTGCTGTGGATGACAGCCGGAGTGTGGTGGTGCTGTGGATGACAGCTGGAGTGTGGTGGTGCTGTGGATGACAGCCGGAGTGTGGTGGTGCTGTGGATGACAGCTGGAGTGTGGTGGTGCTGTGGATGACAGCTGGAGTGTGGTGGTACTGTGGATGACAGCCAGAGTGTGGTGGTGCTGTGGATGACAGCTGGAGTGTGGTGGTGCTGTGGATGACAACTGGAGTGTGGTGGTGCTGTGGATGACAACTGGAGTGTGGTGGTGCTGTGGATGACAGCTGGAGTGTGGTGGTACTGTGGATGACAGCCAGAGTGTGGTGGTGCTGTGGATGACAGCTGGAGTGTGGTGGTGCTGTGGATGACAACTGGAGTGTGGTGGTGCTGTGGATGACAGCTGGAGTGTGGTGGTACTGTGGATGACAGCCAGAGTGTGGTGGTGCTGTGGATGACAGCCAGAGTGTGGTGGAGCTGTGGATGACTGCTGGAGTGTGGTGGTGCTGTGGATGACAACTGGAGTGTGGTGGTGCTGTGGATGACAGCTGGAGTGTGGTGGTGCTGTGGATGACAGCCGGAGTGTGGTGGTGCTGTGGATGACAGCCGGAGTGTGGTGGTGCTGTGGATAACAGCCAGAGTGTGGTGGTGCTGTGGATGACAGCCAGAGTGTGGTGGTGCTGTGGATGACAGCCAGAGTGTGGTGGTGCTGTGGATGACAGCCAGAGTGTGGTGGTGCTGTGGATGACAGCCAGAGTGTGGTGGTGCTGTGGATGACAGCCGGAGTGTGGTGGTGCTGTGGATGACAGCCAGAGTGTGGTGGTGCTGTGGATGACAGCTGGAGTGTGGTGGTGCTGTGGATGACAGCCAGAGTGTGGTGGTGCTGTGGATGACAGCCAGAGTGTGGTGGTGCTGTGGATGACAGCCAGAGTGTGGTGGTGCTGTGGATGACAGCCAGAGTGTGGTGGTGCTGTGGATGACAGCCAGAGTGTGGTGGTGCTGTGGATGACAGCCGGAGTGTGGTGGTGCTGTGGATGACAGCCGGAGTGTGGTGGTGCTGTGGATGACAGCCGGAGTGTGGTGGTGCTGTGGATGACAGCCAGAGTGTGGTGGTGCTGTGGATGACAGCCAGAGTGTGGTGGTGCTGTGGATGACAGCCAGAGTGTGGTGGTGCTGTGGATGACAGCCAGAGTGTGGTGGTGCTGTGGATGACAGCCAGAGTGTGGTGGTGCTGTGGATGACAGCCAGAGTGTGGTGGTGCTGTGGATGACAGCCAGAGTGTGGTGGTGCTGTGGATGACAGCTGGAGTGAGGTGGTGCTGTGGATCACAGCCGGAGTGTGGTGGTGCTGTGGATGACAGCCGGAGTGTGGTGGTGCTGTGGATGACAGCCGGAGTGTGGTGGTGCTGTGGATGACAGCCGGAGTGTGGTGGTGCTGTGGATGACAGCTGGAGTGTGGTGGTGCTGTGGATGACAGCCAGAGTGTGGTGGTGTTGTGGATGACAGCCAGAGTGTGGTGGTGCTGTGGATGACAGCCAGAGTGTGGTGGTGCTGTGGATGACAGCTGGAGTGAGGTGGTGCTGTGGATGACAGCCGGAGTGTGGTGGTGCTGTGGATGACAGCCGGAGTGTGGTGGTGCTGTGGATGACAGCCAGAGTGTGGTGGTGCTGTGGATGACAGCCAGAGTGTGGTGGTGCTGTGGATGACAGCCAGAGTGTGGTGGTGCTGTGGATGACAGCTGGAGTGAGGTGGTGCTGTGGATGACAGCCAGAGTGTGGTGGTGCTGTGGATGACAGCTGGAGTGAGGTGGTGCTGTGGATGACAACCGGAGTGTGGTGGTGCTGTGGATGACAGCCGGAGTGTGGTGGTGCTGTGGATGACAGCCGGAGTGAGGTGGTGCTGTGGATGACAGCCGGAGTGTGGTGGTGCTGTGGATGACAGCCGGAGTGTGGTGGTGCTGTGGATGACAGCCGGAGTGTGGTGGTGCTGTGGATGACTGCTGGAGTGTGGTGGTGCTGTGGATGACAGCCAGAGTGTGGTGGTGCTGTGGATGACAGCTGGAGTGAGGTGGTGCTGTGGATGACAGCCAGAGTGTGGTGGTGCTGTGGATGACAGCTGGAGTGAGGTGGTGCTGTGGATGACAGCCGGAGTGTGGTGGTGCTGTGGATGACAGCCGGAGTGTGGTGGTGCTGTGGATGACAGCTGGAGTGAGGTGGTGCTGTGGATGACAACCGGAGTGTGGTGGTGCTGTGGATGACAGCCGGAGTGTGGTGGTGCTGTGGATGACAGCCGGAGTGTGGTGGTGCTGTGGATGACAGCTGGAGTGTGGTGGTGCTGTGGATGACAGCCAGAGTGTGGTGGTGCTGTGGATGACAGCTGGAGTGAGGTGGTGCTGTGGATGACAGCCGGAGTGTGGTGGTGCTGTGGATGACAGCCGGAGTGTGGTGGTGCTGTGGATGACAGCCGGAGTGTGGTGGTGCTGTGGATGACAGCCGGAGTGTGGTGGTGCTGTGGATGACAGCTGGAGTGTGGTGGTGCTGTGGATGACAGCTGGAGTGTGGTGGTGCTGTGGATGACAGCCGGAGTGTGGTGGTGCTGTGGATGACTGCTGGAGTGTGGTGGTGCTGTGGATGACAGCCAGAGTGTGGTGGTGCTGTGGATGACTGCTGGAGTGTGGTGGTGCTGTGGATGACAGCCAGAGTGTGGTGGTGCTGTGGATGACAGCCAGAGTGTGGTGGTGCTGTGGATGACTGCTGGAGTGTGGTGGTGCTGTGGATGACAGCCAGAGTGTGGTGGTGCTGTGGATGACTGCTGGAGTGTGGTGGTGCTGTGGATGACAGCCAGAGTGTGGTGGTGCTGTGGATGACAGCCAGAGTGTGGTGGTGCTGTGGATGACTGCTGGAGTGTGGTGGTGCTGTGGATGACAGCCAGAGTGTGGTGGTGCTGTGGATGACAGCCAGAGTGTGGTGGTGCTGTGGATGACTGCTGGAGTGTGGTGGTGCTGTGGATGACAGCCAGAGTGTGGTGGTGCTGTGGATGACTGCTGGAGTGTGGTGGTGCTGTGGATGACAGCCGGAGTGTGGTGGTGCTGTGGATGACAGCCAGAGTGTGGTGGTGCTGTGGATGACTGCCAGAGTGTGGTGGTGCTGTGGATGACTGCTGGAGTGTGGTGGTGCTGTGGATGACAGCCGGAGTGTGGTGGTGCTGTGGATGACAGCCAGAGTGTGGTGGTGCTGTGGATGACAGCCAGAGTGTGGTGGTGCTGTGGATGACAGCCAGAGTGTGGTGGTGCTGTGGATGACAGCCAGAGTGTGGTGGTGCTGTGGATGACAGCTGGAGTGTGGTGGTACTGTGGATGACAGCCGGAGTGTGGTGGTGCTGTGGATGACTGCTGGAGTGTGGTGGTGCTGTGGATGACAGCCGGAGTGTGGTGGTACTGTGGATGACAGCCGGAGTGTGGTGGTGCTGTGGATGACTGCTGGAGTGTGGTGGTGCTGTGGATGACGGCTGGAGTGTGGTGGTACTGTGGATGACAGCCGGAGTGTGGTGGTGCTGTGGATGACTGCTGGAGTGTGGTGGTGCTTATCTGTGCTGCTGCTATAGTGTAAATAATGTACTGAATATATGAGTAATATTTTTTAAATTGCTGTAACCTTTCACTATACAGTATTCACTCTTTGCTTTCTCTTGGCTAATGTCTCCTACCCCACGAGAGTGGGAAACAGGATAATGGTAACATCTCAATGATGCGTAATGGTATTTGTAACAAATTATCCTTGTATATGGAGTTGTTAATGTTTAGCCTCATCACACTTGTTAAGAAATAGTTCTTAAATGTGGTTATGATTGTAAACTTGTAGATTTGTTAGTTGTTGTATTGTAAATACAGTATTTGTATACAATATATATTTTAATTTTCTAAGTTTTATAACATGTGTTATATCATTTAAGTATAATAGTTAGTGCCTTATGGTATGTAAATATATTTTGTCTTTTAGTGTATAGTACACTTGACAAAATAATGATATATATATATCATCCAGTCTGTAGGTAACTATTAAACTGCAGTTTGTGACAAAATTGTGATGTTGTTATATCTTCCTCAGCAAGAAGATGTAAGTGTCCAACTGGAGGCTCTAGACATCTTGGGCGACCTTCTAGCGCGCTTCGGCTCTCTTCTTATCTCCTTCCATCCTAATATATTAGATGCGCTGCTACCACAGCTGGCTTCGCCCCGTCTCGCCGTCAGAAAGCGTACAATAGTTGCCCTTAGTCACCTGGTGGTGTCATGTTCGCCGCAGATATATGCAAGACTTATGGATTTTTTGATTGATGAACTAGCTAAGAACTCGTCAATGTCTACCACGAGAACGTATATCCAGTGTATCGCGGCAATTAGGTAGGATTTGTGGAATTTGTATGCTGCTTGATCACTTTTGCAGACCTGTGTAAATATGATTTTTCAATCTATGCCAATTATGTAGTTCCGAAAACCTTCTTGTAAATAATGTAATCTGCTGCTTTTCTTTGTGTTGCAGGTTATCAGTTATTGAACATTCTTTACAAGCATCTTATGAACCATCCTCCAAATGTTCAGGCTATTTATAATGTGTGTCTCTTGATTCACTACTACCCTGCACCTCATATCTCTAGCGTTGATACACTGTACAATCCTATATCTCTTGCCTCGGTGCACAGTACCATCCCACATCTCTGGACTTGGCTTGCTCAGCTACCTTTTTATCCCTTGGTTTCCTTGTGATTGTTGAAGGAGTGAGTGCCGTTGCAGGTCAGTGTTGACCTGGCCTCCTGGTTGACCCCCCCCACATCACTTGCTTCACCCACGTGACTATTGCCTTAAGACCTAAGCCATTTTTCCTACACAATGCATTTTTTTTTTTTTTTTTGTCTCTTATGCCTCCTTACCTCTAGGCAATGCAAAATATTTGTGTTGATTTATAAATTTGTTATCTCTCTTGTTATGAATTGTTGTGGTTTAGCAATTCTAGATAAGTTTTATTTTTCTTTGCTTTGTGAGTCATTGTGATTACAAGAAACCTGTGCTTGCCTAGTTGAGCCTACAGGCAGCAAGATCAATCTGCAAAATCTTGCCTCGTAGCTGATGTACCAGGTGTACTGATGGCTCCTAAAATTTCAGTACAGTATTGTACCTATCACTCTGTCTGTATTTTGAAGGGAAAAGCCAGTGGATGGTTCTGTGGGGGCACTTTATAATAATATAGTTTATTAAATGTAATTGTGAAAGATACTTTTTTTCCTTTTGCCACTAATGGATTCAATAACGTTTGATAATGGTTGCAGTCGGCAGGCAGGTCACAGGTTTGGAGAGTACTTGGAGCGCGTGATGCCGCTGATTGTTCAGTATGTTGCGGTGGATGATGATGAACTGCGCGAGTATTGCATTTCTGCGTGCGAAGCCTTCACACTCCGCTGCCCTAAGGAAATCACTCATCATCTACCTACAGTATGTATGGTTGCTTGCACATCCTCTTGGAGATTGGTGTCTTCTCACTGTTTATATATAATGTATATAGAGGATTTCACTCTGCTGCCCTGAAGATATCAATCATCATCCACCCATGGTAGGGTTTCCCAATGTCGGGGGCAAGGACCCCTGGGTTTATTGAGGTCACCTTAGGTTAACGACGCCTTTTCCAGGATGCATCTCATAACATTGACCAACTCCCAGGTACTTACTGGTATTTATTGCTCGGTGAACAGAAGCATTAGATTTGAGGAAATGTGCTCAAACATCCCCTCAATCTTAGGAATTGAACAATGGGTACAATCAGTTACAAGTCTACTGTGCTAACCTCTGCACTGAAGAATATGTATGGCCTCTGGTACCACCTTGGAGATTGCACAGATCGATTAAATCACATTAATGTGATGTATTGATGATAAAATCAGTAGGAGCCACGAGGAGGAGAATATAAACCTTGAGGGAGCCGGTCGGCCGAGCGGACAGCACGCTGGACTTGTGATCCTGTGGTCCTGGGTTCGATCCCAGGCGCCGGTGAGAAACAATGGGCAGAGTTTCTTTCACCCTATGCCCTGTTACCTAGCAGTAAATAGGTACCTGGGTGTTAGTCAGCTGTCATGGGCTGCTTCCTGGGGGTGGAGGCCTGGTCGAGGACCGGGCCGCGGGGACACTAAAAATCCCCGAAATCATCTCGAGATAACCTCAAGATAACCCTAAAGTACTACACCTTGACTCAGTAAAAGCAATGCAACCTGGGATTCAGCTGAATCCACAAGGGGTCTTGAGGCTCCCAACTGGAACTCAAACCAGGGGTTTCACACACATCCCCCCGTGCTCTGTGGCTTGTGGTCAAATAGTTCAACACCTACGCTTTACCTCTCATCAAATGCACAATGAAATTACATTGACATGATGTATTAGTGTGAAAATCAGGAGGGGCCATAAGGAAAATTTGAACCCGCTCACATGGTACTTACAAGATAGCGCCCTAAACCACTACACCATGATACCGTAAAAACAATGCAGCCTGCTTTTGCAAAGTTCAAACATAGATGGATGAGGTAAAACACTTTAGTTAAGGGTTATAATAAAGCGTAAGATGCCAGATATTGTTGACTAGCAGAGATAAAACTGGAAGATAAAGCATCAAACGAGGTGGTATTCACAAGAAGCTAATCATTTGCTGATGACAGAAAAATGAGAAAAGGTGAAGGTATTGCTGCCCTGGAAAAGGAACGACTAAAGGTAAGAGAATTAATTGTTCTCTTACCTTTAGTAAGAGAACTAATTAATTATTAATTGTTCAATCTGTATCGAGAAGTCGACATTGTGGCACTAGAGTTCTGCAGTCGGGATGATAAACTGATAAACATTACTGCCTACTGTACATATGGACATGAGAAGAGCTAGATGACAAAAGAGAAGGTTTTATAATCAAGAAAGATTCTGTTTTATATTATTCCTTGGACAGCGGTTATAGCAAAATGATCATTCCTGCATATGCGCAAAAAATTAAAGTGATTACAAAAAAAAATTCCATTATAGAAATATTAATTTGTATTCAAAATGTAAGAATAACATGAAAATAAGTAAATATTTATCATTATACAGTACTTGGTGGTGGCACTGTGAAATTTTGCGGTCTGGCTGTGTGGTCTGGCGTCTGTCAACACACAATGCCCGACTTTGCTAACACTGAGGTATGCCAGACACGACTCCTGTGTTACCCTTTAGATGTTTTTCTGATTGTTTATCACTTGTTCCTCTTTATTTACAAGGGTGTGTGTTGAATAACCTGATAAATCACATCAAATGTGATACTGTTTCAATTGATGATTGGTTTATCTGGTACAGTATACTCCATTACAGCCATATAGAGTACTGAAAAGGTTATGAACATAATATACAATGATGTTGAACTCCGGGCAATGACATACGTCTTAATTGGCACCATATCGGGGAGAGTGCTGATTGAAAGAAAGGTGTACTCCAGTGTGCCTCCCGCAAATGACGACAGTCTCCTATTACACATACCGCATGATAATTGTTCAATTGATGATTGTTTTACCTGGTATACCTGGTACAGGTATATGGTTTTACCTGGTACAACCATACTGAGTTGTGAAAACCATATGAACATCATTAGTGTGCATATCATGTAATTATGATGGAATTTTATACGATGACCGCATTCACCAAGTAACATTCATGACGATAACCTCATTCACAGTGGAATGTAACCATTAATTTTTTTTTCATAGGTCAAGGTAAACTGCAATACGTCCACGGAGAGTTGTTATATCATTATTTGCATCATACATACTAAACCCAGACAATACTTGTTTAAATCGTAATATGACAACTTCTTTACCCTGAGAATCAGCATATTGATGATAACCACTGTCTAAGGGTTAACAGCAGGTGAAGATAAATCATGATTAATGATGTTTGGTGACTTTAATTTAAAATCAATAGACTGGGAAGCCTGTGAAGTTAGAAAGGAGGACTTTTGGTCCAACTGATTTGTAAACTTCATCCTTCAGATTTTCACGTATCCAAATTTTTAAAAAGAGGCCACAAGAATGAGAGGAAGGGGGATGCTTTACTAATGCAGGATTTGATATTTACCTGGAAAGGCAAAGAAATATTTGACATTTGGTGATATATTTTTAAGATAGGCTCAATCTCTCCCTAAGGGCTTTGTATTATAGTATTTTGTGACTTCTGGAAATACTGTAGTTTTCCAGCTTGCACTCTGTGTAAAGTATATGGTACACACCGGGCTTGGGAAGTAATAAAACTCATGAACCCACTCCAGGTGTACTCCAGTGAGTACAGTATTTTATACCAGGAACGCTTCCTTCTATAAAATCGATATTCTGTTGGTTACGATTTTTAAATGGAAGTTGACAACCATTGAAGATCTGGTCTGAGATGTTTTGGTTTGATAATTTCAGATAGTTGAAATGTGCCTCAAGTATATTACACACGACCCCAACTACAATTACGACGACTACGAAGATGACGAAGGTCAGATGGACATGGACGAAGACGACGATGGCGAGGAGGATGATGAATATTCTGACGACGACGACATGTCGTGGAAGGCGAGTTTCTTTCTTAGTGTTTTATTTCCATTTCTTTTGGTGGGAGATTGGTAGAGTTAGAAGATGGTGTATATATATATATACATGTGTGTTTTGTTATACTTTGTGGTCTATTGGGTTTATGTTGCTGGTAGACTCTGTATTTCACCAAGTTTTTGAGAGTAATAATGATGACTGCTTTATACACACAACCTTTGGAGCAAGTAGACTCATTGGAAAATATGAATTGTTAAAGTAAATGTTTGTTGAATGTAACAATACAGTAATAGTGTGACGAACAACAAAAATGGTGTCAATAGTAACAGGAATAGTGTCAGTAGTAACAGGAATAGTGTCAGTAGTAACAGGAATAGTGTCAGTAGTAACAGGAATAGTGTCAGTAGTAACAGGAATAGTGTCAGTAGTAACAGGAATAGTGTCAGTAGTAACAGGAATAGTGTCAGTAGTAACAGACAGGAATAGTGTCAGTAGTAACAGACAGGAATAGTGTCAGTAGTAACAGGAATAGTGTCAGTAGTAACAGGAATAGTGTAAGTAGTAACAGGAATAGTGTCAGTAGTAACAGACAGGAATAGTGTCAGTAGTAACAGAAATATTGGCAATAGTAACAGGAATATGGACAATAGTAATAAGAATAGTTGCACAAAAGAAATGACACTTAACGTGATATATGCAGCATAACAAGAAAATCAATTGGAGCGCTGCGATGGCTGGAACCAGATGTTGGAGCACTTCGGAATCTCTGCTTGTACTCGCCTAATTGTGCTTGCAAGGGTTGAGCTCTGGCTCCTTGGTCTAGCCTCTCAACTGTCAATCAACTGATGTACAGATTCCTGAGCCTTCTGGGCTCTATCATAGCTACATTTGAAACTGTGTATGGAGTCAGCCTCCACCACATCACTGCCTAATGCATTCCATAATGGTATGTATGAGTGATGTCACTCATACCATAATGGATGGCATGAGTGAATGTTAGAGGGCCAACCTTGCCGTATGTGCAAGGTCTGATTTTATTGTTGTCATCCTTCCGAGTGTTGATCGAAGTAGTCAGCCCGCACTTCTCACCTCAGCACCTGCAACGGGCATAGGTGGAAACCATGACATACCCAGTGGCGTATACCTGTTTATCAGTGTGGTATCACGACACGACAACTGTCAGTGAATGAGAGTGTATTCATGACATGACAACTGTCAGAGAATGTGAGCTTCACATAGACCACACACACACACAGTTATTGTGTGCTGTCAGTGTGTATGATTATTATATGTGCCACTGACAGTGTCATTGTTGCTCTCTTGTGCATGATTATTGCTGCAGTATCCTGACTGAAACTCCTGTGTCATTTTTGCATACTGGCATCATTTGGAAAGCCATATTAGGGATTCGTTGTCAACCTTGTTAAGAGAGGTTTTTTCCACGAGTGGACTATCATTAAATAATGAGGCATCCCAGATCTTTCTAATGTGGTAATAGCTTTGCTGACACCATTCTAGAATAACTCAAACACCCGTTGTATTGCTTATGCTAGTTAAGCCTGGCCCCCCCTCCCCCCTTATCGGGCTTGGGAAGTAGAACTCCCAGAGCTCCTTCCTGGTACAGTCCAGGTACATGCTGTGTTTCATTGAACCACATCTAAATACTGACACTACTCGCACTTAAGCCTTCAGCTCCGGTGTCTTAAGCAACAAACTACCGATTAATCCCTAATCTATAAAAAGAGAGTCCCTTAAAGTGGTACATGTTGCATTGAGGAGAGTCCTATGACCAATGTAGATGAGGTCCCGGTGTAGCTAGTTTGAGGAGGGACCACCCCAGGACCCTTACTTGACTGTACAACCCAGGCCCTGTACACTTGCTCGCGTATTTTGCTGGATTCTGCCTGCTTTGTGGAGCATCTGCCTTATGCATATTAGTAATGTTGTATGCAAGTGCAATCAGGAAAAAGCAATATTACCACAGTGACTTATATTTGAATTTATCCAGATTGGTACCCTGATGCATTTACCAGAGAATTGTCAGAAACCAATGCCTAATAAAAAATTTTGTCTGCTCAGGTACGTCGCTCATCAGCAAAGTGCTTGGAAGCCGTAATCTCAACCAGACACGAGATGCTGATTGAATTTTACAAGACAGTGTCTCCTCAGCTCATTACCAGGTTTAAAGGTTTGTACATCACTTGACAGAAGAGTTTGATTTTGTTCTGAATATATATGATAAGGACATTCAAAAGGACAAAGGCAATGTTTATAAGAGACTAAATAAAAGCTACAGTACTCTGGATGGAGTCAATAAATATTAAACCAATTAACATTGCTTTTTAATCAATAGTATGTTCTTTATATCATCATCATCATCATCATCCAATTTCCCACTTTTGGTTGAGGAGGCAACAACTGGCATAAAATGGGCAACATCATAAAGAATATTATAGCTATTAGAAAAGTAGCACTTGTTTAATTATGACACAAGCCACACATCATATTCCAATAAGTATCACCACACTCATCCACAGCAGTGCCCTTCCATAGGCAATTGTTAAATTTATTTTATTGAACATTTTTTATTTTTATATTAGGATTAACTGCATGAAGGCATTTTACAGTGCGTGAGTTTATTAATAAAACTTTTATGTGGTCCTCTGGGTTCAGAGCGAGAAGAAAATGTGAAGGTGGACATCTTCCATGCGTATATGGCTCTCTTGCGTCAGACTCGGCCATCCCTCAGCCTCAGCCTTGACCCAGATGCCATGGAGCAGGAAGAAGGTACCATCTCCATGCTAAAGCAACAGGTAGGAACGCTTCTCTTGTAGTTGTTATTCTGCTAGGGTCTGCATCTATAATTATTTTCTGGAGGACTATTGGGCATTATTTAGTTTTTCAAATGTTCTGTCATTGATTCTGTCAGTTTATGACAAGTGTTAATTTCGATGTCAAGGGCCATGACTCGAGGGCCAGGGAGTTTAGTATCACCGTTAGTGCATTTTCAGATATAAACAAAAACTCAATTAAATTATTGTTTAGTTTAATACTAAGTGGGAGCAAACTGGAGGCAATGGTTCAGAGTGAAATTGCTCAATAATTCTAAGTTGGTGAGTTAAATAGAAGCTGCTTATTAATAATTTATGCCTCAGCATTGTGGGAGAGTTTGTAGTTTTTAAATGCAACTGTTATCTGATGACCAAACCATACATCAGAAGATGGAGAAACGACATTTTGGTCCGTTTTGGACCATTATCATGTCATGTGTCCACATGCGACTTGATAATGGTCCAGGATGGACTGAAACATCGTTGTTTCTCCATCTTCTGATGTGTGGTTTGGTCATCATATCTTCAGCCACGTTGTTGTGACTCATTGTCTGTATACTACTGTTATCTCATCCTTCTGCTCATTTTGAGTCCTTCATCAATAATGTAGAGTTACTATAATTTATTATATTTGCCCCTAAAAGATATTGATGCCATATTCTTGCATAAAGGTATTCCTGTTTAATTTTCATGTACAGTATTATGAGTCAATTACTGACTGTTGAGGGCACTCTCCTGTTCCTATGCAGGTGCCAGCTTTGGTGAAGTCTGTTCACAGACAAATGAGAGAGAAGAGCATCAAGACCCGTCAGGGATGTTTTGCGCTGCTGACAGAGTTGGTACAAGTGTATCCTGGAGCTCTGACTCATCACATACCTGTGCTTATTCCTGGCATTCAGTTCTCACTTGGGTAAGTGTTTTGAGTCTTTCTTAGGCAATGGCTCCATGTCCTGTTTCAATAAGTGTTGGTAATTTTAATTGGTAAAGTGTTTCCTGCGAAAGTGTTGGAGCGTTTGTTTGGTAACGTGGTTCTCTTTGTTGCACGGGTAGCATTTAATTTTTTTGATAATGGTTTTGCTTCATACTTGGGTAACTCATTTATTGCTTGGGTAAAATTTGCAGTTCTCTCTTGTTTGAATATTAGAGTTCAATCCTATTTGTTTTATTTATGGTAAAAAATAAAAGGAATCATTTTCCTGTTTTGCTTAAATTCAGTTTTGTGTTTTTGTTTTTTAGGTAGTTTTCCCACCCCGGGTATTCAGGTAACACACATCAGATAAAAGTTTAAAAAAATAGTTTAACACAGGAATCAGGAAATAACATTACAAAGTTCAAGTGTAAATCATGGGCACACACTGAGCATGTGGTGATGCCCGTCTACTGTACTTGTCTTCCTCTTGGCCAGTCTTTACCCTTGAACAGCACCTATGAACAAAATTGTCATATCGTCTATATGCAAAATATTAAAAAAAAAAATACAAAAAAGTTTATCATAGCACCTCTGGAGAACACCTTTGCAATTTATATTCAAAATGAAAGAAAAACACGAAAATAAGTGAAAGTTTATAGTTTTGCTGGGTGGAAGTGCTCTGCATGGCTGCATCTGTCACTTGTCAACACCCGGTGCTCGACTTGGCTGACGCTTGTTATTTTATCCTCGGATGTTTAACTGATTGTTTTACTGTATCGCATGGTTTTCTTTGTTTATATCCACAGAGTTATTATCTGGTTTTACATTTCATGTAAAACCAGACAATAATTGTCTAAATTGTCATATGAGGATGAGCACATTTCCCCTAGTAACATTCATGACAATAACTGCATTCATACCCATGAAATGGTAGCAGGATTTTTATCATGAGTCAAGGTAAACTCCATTACATCCACATAGACCTATTATATCCATATTACGTACTATCATTCAGGTAAAGCTAAGATGATGATTGTTTAAATCGTCACATGACGATAACCGCATTACCCTGAAGATTGTCAAGAGACAATAGTCGCTGCCTAGGGGTTAAATATATTGTGCCAATCAACTTTTGCTACTTCATCATAAAGAAAAGGATAGAATTCGTTTTCTAATTTGAAAATAACAGAGATCGGAAAGTTCTATTTTGTGTGCAAGAAATTTGAGAATGGTGTTAGAGAGTAGAACTTGGGCTCAGGTGGTATTACAGACGAGACAAAGTAACATCACATTTTTTACATTTATTTCCATGTTCTAAGTCAATTTATGCTACTTTATTATACAGAACAGCACTCTAAATGAAAAAGATAGAAGATATGCAAGTAATTAATACAAGGAAACAGTAAATACTAGAAGTACTAAGCAAATTATCAAAACAGTAATGTGGGTAAATTTACATGTTCAGTGTCCATGCAGAATACAAATATTTTGTTGACTGATAAATTTTTGTCATTTAGGATGTGAAACCTCTTGGAATTTTAAGCTGCATTCACAGTTGCTATAAATTTCTGAATGCATTGTGCCTATTAGCCTCACCTTTACGTAGTTTTGAGATTTTTAAATTTGATAAGTGTAATGTAATATTTGCATAATATACTCAAACGTTGGAGGTGAAACTTGTATAACATTATGATATACCCATAACCATAATCAAATTGCAAGTTGATACTTGTTCAGGATGTATCAAAATTATTTGATTTTGATCTCTAGATTGTTTGTTGTATCTAAGTTTATTTCTTCCCTAGTGATAAGAACAGCAGCAGTAATATGAAGATCGACACGTTGGCCTTCGTGCATTGCTTGTTAATACACCACAGTGGGGAAGTGTTTCATCCTCACATTGGTGAGCTACTGCCTCCGGTGGTGACGTGCGTAGCCGATCCATTTTACAAGATCACAGCCGAGGCGCTACTTGTGCTGCAGCAGATTGTCAAGGTCATCAGACCTCTAGGTATGACACGTGTAGTATCAATCCTCTGTGTGTGTGTGTGTGTGTGGCAAGTTGCAAGATGAGTTGCTTCTTTGTGTTGACACATGACACGTTGAATGTCTTTATCTTAATTAACATACAATATAATATTAATAATACTAAGATGTCAATTTTTTAGATGTGACAGCACTATAATAGTTAATACTTTAACATAATTAACATAATGCATTATGTTAATACTTAACATACAGCTATACCTATTTACCTACACACATGAAGGAATAATCAACAGCCCCCTTTCCCCAATTCTGATTGCCCATGCTTGCTGCTACTTTTGTAAATAACTGGTATTTTGTTTTTCCTATGCCAAACTGCACTATTAACTGGGGAAGATCTTAAGAGCATTACGTTAATGGGTTAGTCTCCCGGCCTCTCTTTTGCCCACCTGTGTAAACAATTCTAACTACCACATCCCACGGCCACAAATGTTCACCAGGAACATTTCATGAACACTTCATAATTGTTGAACTGAGTTGAACTGTTACAATGTGACCAACCTTCATAGTAATTAAGCTATTTCTTAGGTTCTTATGTACATGATGAGAGCCCCCGCTGTAATCAAATAAATGCCTCGAGCACACGTGATCTAGTTATCTCGGACTAGAATGTCATTACCTGATTCCTATATTACTTATTATTATTTTGAAATATATTATGTGTGACTTTAGAAACCGTGATACGTCCCCGAGGTACTGTTAGAAAGAAGGAAATATAGACAGCTTCAACCTAGGGGGGAAAGCTGAGCATGTGGAAATAAAACATGCCAGCATCATAGAGCAGCATGAATACTCTGTGGAATTGGCCAATAGAATAAATGGAGAAATAAATGATAGAGCTTAGGCCTTACACGTGTGGGGTCCATGGTTCGAGTTTCCTAGTGCCCAGGTGAATGGGATAAGTGGATATTTTTAGATTCTAAATAATCCTTGGTAATTAATGGGTTATAAATAGGGCTGTTGACATATGGAGTAACTTCCCAGGTAATAATAGGTGTGGGATTGTTGGATTATTTCAAGCATGTAGTTAGGAGTGTATGTGAGTGAGTTTGTTTAGGTGTCGGCTGCCTCTCGTGGTTTCATAGGCCTTCTGCACTATCATCTGTTTTTATGTGCATAATACCATGTTCAAAATTGCCCCCAAGCATGGTGCTATGTTTAAAATTGTCCCCAAGCTTGGTGCTATGTTCAAAATTGTCCCCAAGCTTGGTGCTATGTTCAAAAATTCCTCCAAGCATGGTGCTATGTTCAAAGTCTCTGGCAAGTAATCTTAAACTTAGCTCCAAGCACTCCTTCATACACTGAGATGGGCATCTGGGAGGTTTACCTGTTCTGGATACCCTTAGAAGGGGTATTCCTAGAGGTAAGCAAGGCATCAGCACTACTAAATGCATAACTTTTTATTCAAATAGGAAATCAACAATATTAAGAAAATTTAAAAATTAACTGATATTGCTTGTGGGCAATATCAGGCATCTCAGTTTGATGTTTTATGTAACAGATGTTGTGGCATTTGGATTAAGTTATCCTTGTAGCTATGACAATTGTGATGCTGCAAGGATATGTAACTCTTGGTGATTGTTATAGCATCATGCTAGTAGTAAGGCTCATAGAAATGCAGTAGTATCGTTTCTTTTAGGCCTGTTAAACTACTGCAAATTAGGTAAATAAAAAAACTTACCTATTTTACCAGTATATTACATTGGATGCAAACACCGCTCCACTGACCAACTCGTGATTGTATAATACAGTAAATTTATGCATACAGTAACTTCTCAAAATATCAGGCTGACACACTACAATACAATAGCAAAGAATGTAATTGACAAGATGAAATATAACTTCCTGATATTGATAATGATTAATCCTAAAATATGTCAATTTACTAATAGAACAAAAGCTTTATAATTGTCATAATTAGGAACCAGGTAAATACCTGGGTCATAACAGTTGAACATGGGGGTAATGTACTACCATGTACTGTCCCTCTGCTGTACAAAAATCTTTACAAACACTGATGATGTACTGATGATATAATTAGCATATGTTGCATATTCTGTTACATACTTCATCTCTGTAACTAACATAATTGTTTTTAAATATGAAGTTAACACTTTCGCGCTCTCGGCGCTCAAAAAAAAACAATACCCCAGATGCTTTCGGCACTTCGCGCGCCTACGCGGTAAGACCGAAAAAGTGTACACTCTTTTGACTGTCCTGACAATAATTGAAGGCGCACGTATTTAAATTTGGTATCACTGTGTTCGCAATGAAATTGTCTATAAGAGCATACCTATAAAATGCCGCCCAAGCATAAGGAGTATCAACACCAAATAAAAAACTATGCAGATCACTCGCCGAGAGCGCCAAACAGCAACAAAATGTTTCCACTTTCTTAATGGTTGCGAAGCCTACAGTTGTCCTACATCGCTAATTTTGGTATCATTGGAATCGCAATAAAATTCTCTACACGGACATATGCATATGAATGTTTAATATAGGTAATTGCCCACCCGCAAGAGTGTGTGAAGTGGAGAGTAGTTAGCCGCGAGCGCACTGGCGAAAACACAGGGGGGAAATCATGCTTGGAAAGTTTATACGTTTCCTGACCCTACTTTTCTATGTACGTATTTCTTTTTTATACCAATGTGTTCGCAATAAAATTTTCTATAAGATGAACTGTATAACATTGGTACAAAACATGTGTAAGAGAAGCGCCAAATATAGAACCACGTCGCTCAGTATGCGTTCGCGGCAGAAACGAACGCATTGTTTTCGTTTGTTTGATGTTTGTCATGTTTATACTTGTTGAAACATTTTATAATTTGTATGACAGTGATCGCAGTAAAATTCCCTACACAGACATATACATAACACATACAAATATTTCCCACGTGTTGGATATATCAACGGCTAAAGGGAACCCACTGCCACACGCTCGCCACACCCCCAAACATACTTTGTGTATTTTTTTTTTTTACTCATAGAAGTTTATGTGATATAATATTCATTCTGGTACCAAAAAATTCGCAAATAAATTCTCTACAAAACAAAAGTATCCCCATCCATTTCGGTTAAAAAATGGAATTTATAGAAATATTTTTTCGATTGACGAGAAAAGTAGGCAGTTATGCGGAATCGTAAGAAAAACCAGTGACGAGTTATCTCTAATATAAAGCGCGAAAGTGTTAACTGGCCTATTGAGAAATCCAGAAAAATGACAAATTCAGAATGGTGTTAGTCTTATCTGTTTTGGGTAATAAGGTCATACAATAGGCAGCTCAATACATATTGATACATTATACATTATCAATACAGCTTGATACATTTCCCCATACCTAGTCAGCTGTCTTGATATATTCCTCCATAGAAATCCTCCTGACACCATAGGTGGTCCACTAGTTTGATACACCTCTGTAGGTAGTCTGCTGGTTTGATACTCCTCCATAGGAAGTCTGCTAGCTCGATACATTCTTCCATAAATAGTTCGATATATTCATCCATAGTTAGTCAGGAAGCTCGATACATTGCTTGGTAGAAAGGTAGTTTTCTTGGTATAATACTACAATAAATGTCTAGCTAAGTCCATTCCTCCAGACTAACATCCCTTTTACCCATATAATTTCACGTCGTCCTATCTTTTCACATTGCTCTTGAATTTGGATGGTCGAAGGTGTCACAATTTCACTTTTAACATTCTCTAAGCTCCTAGGATAAAATTTGTTAGGACTAGCTATTTTCTTTTGTGGTGTGTTGTGTTCTACGTACATTAATCAAACAATGCCTTGTTCATAGTTTATTATTGTTAGAGCTGATTTTATATTTTGTATTACACTAAATTTGTTTTACACTATTTTGTGTTACACTAGATTTGGCGTCGTCGTTTGACTTCACTCCGTACACGGGTGACCTGTATCATTGCACGTTAGCAAGATTACGGGCCGCGGATCTGGACCAGGAAGTGAAGGAACGCGCCATTGCTTGCATGGGACAGATCATCTCGCACCTTGGTGACCACTTACAGGTAAGTGTGCAGGATGTGTGTACTTGATGTGGGGTCAGCATTTGTTATATGACTATTGACCCATACCTTGTGATGCATTCTGAATTGAGAGCCTTGTTCATAAATATAGCCTCAAGAGTCCACATACCTGTGGATGTTTTAAGTGCCTATTAACACTATCGCGCACCGGGCAGGCGCGCGGTCAGCTTAAAGGTCATGCGCCGAGCGTGCGGGCGAGCGTGCGGTGACACCTAAACGTGTATACTCGTTTCAGCTTTCTCACCTTAATTCTCGTGCTACGTCGCTCGTTTTGGTATCATTGTGTTCTCAATTAAATTCCCTACAGGTGTGTGTATAAATATAATGTCCAAAAGCCTGGCGTGACTCCCAACAGCAAAGCCTAAAGTCGGCAAAAGTTACCCATGAGCGCACAAAATCAGTAACATGTGCATACTCGTTCCATTTTTCTCACCTTAATTCTCGTGCTACGTCGCTCGTTTTGGTATCATTGTGTTCGCAATTAAATTCTCTACAGATGTGTATGAATATAATGTACAAAAGCTTGGAGTGCCTCCCCGCAGAAAAGCCTAAAGTTACCCGTGAACGAGCACCAATTTGTACACTGCAACCTAATGTGTATACTCGTTCAATTTGATAACATTAAATTTCGTGTTACGTCTTTCATTTTGGTATCAAATTGTTCACAATAAAAAGGTTCGTATTTTAAAACTAGTCCCACATTAATAGAACAATAACTGGAATTTTAACAAATATTTTAATTCTGGACGCTCATCATCACAAAATTATTTATATCTTTCCAGTGTTCTGACATAAATTTTTGTGTTACATCTTTCGTTTTGGTATCAAATTGTTCGCGACATAAAGGCGAGCATTTTAAAACTAGTCCCAAGATAATAGGACAATAAATAGAATTTTAACAAATATTTTAATATTTTGACTAAAAGCCTATTTATAATCTTTCAAGTGTTCGGACATCAAGTTTCATGTTATATCTTTCATTTTGGTATCAAATTGTGCGCAATCTAAAGGCGCTTATTTTGATACTATCCCGAGGTCGATTGGATAAAAAATGAATTTTATACAAATATTTTTTGTAGTGGACGCGAGTCCGGTCCAAAGTTACCGATATTGTTAAGTTAATTATCAATAGAAAGTGCCAAATATTGCTCCCTGTAGATGCTACTAAGTAAGGACTATTATATTGCATTGGAAAGGATATAAGACAGTCTAATGAGCTGGGATTTGAGGACGGAGTGAAGGAATGGTGCCTAACCAATTGGATTAACGGGGATCAAATGCCGACCCTGCAAGATGTGAGGTTATTTCTTGCTTTAATTGGTCCATATGTAAGAGGAATGGCAGTCATCAGAAACTGATCAACATGTTCCCACTTCCTCATTCTAGCATCTGTTAATTCAATTCTCACTCATTTGGGTAATCATGTCTAATCATCATTTATTAATGGTATAATCTTTGTATGTTTAGGATTCTTCTACAAGTTGTCTCAAAGAATTTTTTTTTATAAGGCTGTAAATGGTACTAGGTATTGTTAGAACACTAAGTGTGAGTTTGAAAGATGAGAGAACATTGATACAAATAGTGCAGTAAAGTGCTGTGCATTTTTCATCCATCTAGAACTTGTAAATTTAGCTTCCTGTGTGTTTTCTTAGCTGTGTCCACAGAGGGGAGCTAGCTGTAGAACCTCAGCTCATAACTGTTGTACCTGGTGAATTCATACCACCTGAGCTTCCAGAACTCATACTTGCTATTGAAGCTGTGAATGACGGCAATTCTACCTCGAGCTCATTCCACTGTTTATCATACTAACGGCACTTGAACATTTTCTTGCAGTTTTCTGGTTTCCCGGACCAACAGAGTATATGCTATATATAGCAACCCGTTCTTGCACTTTCTTTAAGTCAATATTGACTTATTAAATAAGTGCATATGTGGCATACTAATTTATTGTGAATATTTTAGTTTACCTTGAAAAGCTTCATAGAAAACACCGACCTTACCTAACCTTTTTAGTATGTTAAGATAAGCATCTTATTGGTTCGTAATTACAATTATTACTGAACCAATTATAGGTATAGGTTAAGTAATAATTGTAATTACGAAGCAATAAGATGCTTATCTTAACATACAAAGAAGGTTAGGTAAGGTCGGTGTTTTCTATGAAGCTTTTCAAGGTAAACTAAAATATTCACAATAAATTAGTATGTCACATATGCACGTATTTAATAAGTCAATATTGACTATAGGAAAGTGCGAGAATGGGTTGTATATAGTGTGGGCCTTTCAGCATTATTACCCTGTATAATACCCTAAAGGAAGCTTCCACTACTATTGTTCATAGTTCATTCCGCTTGTTGCCACCTCTATTATATAGGAGCACTTTCTTACATCTCTGACTCGTGTTTCCGATGTCTACCTTTGCTCCGGCTTAACACCTCTCTGAATGTAACCTTTTTATTTATTGTCAGATACTCTTTTTACCCAAGTTTAGCTTCTTTAAGTTATCTCTCATTGCCTCTTATACTAGGCTTTTGTGAAGGACAATAGTAAATGCTTTCTAAAACTGTGGGAAATGTAGTCTTGTGAGTGTTGTTTCTCTGGCCACCATTCGGTTATTGCCGTTCAACTTAAAATTGACAAGCATGAATTTTCCCCTCTAGTTTGTCCTCTCCTTTAGCTTCTTCAATCTCATTTTGGTTATTTTCTCAGTACTTTGCACAGAATGTCTGTTAGTAACACTGGTGTATAGTGCCATCTGTCTTCCCTCCTTTTCTGGAATATTGGATTTACATATAAATCTTATTGGATTTACTTGTTCTACGGTACAAGTACAGTAGAACAACCGTGGACATCTTCAAGAGAAAACTAGATTGTTTTCTAAAAAAAAAAAAAAAGTGCCAGACTAACCGGCCTGTGGTGGGTATGTGGGCCTGCGGGTCGCTCCAAGCAACAACCTGGTGGACCAAACTCTCACAAGTTAAACCTGGCCTTGGACCAGGCTTAGGAAGTAGAACAACTTCCAGAACCCCATCAAACAGGTATCAAGCAGGTACCTGGCAGTCTCCTTCATGAACTGTGGTGGTATTTAGTCTGACCTTCCTGCTTTGGTTGGATCGAGGTGTTAAATATATCAGCACGTATATCGAGGTGCTATAAATATACAAGTTTAAATTTAAAACAAATTTGGATAAATTTTTGTTCAGAAATAGGGTTGTTGATTTCTGAGAGATTACTGGGTAACATAGATCTGGGATTGCTGTATTTTTCAGGCATAGGGAAGGTACTGTATTTATGTAGGTGAGTTTGGTTGGTTATAAATAGAAGCTGCCTTGCTCACGTCAGAAGGCTTTTTACAATTACAGTAACCCGTTTCTTTGTTCTTATGTTGCTGTTTTATCCCGTGTGTTTCTTGACTGCCTCATCAGTGTTCCAATGTTGCTGCTTGACCTTAGTTGTGTCCCATCTTCAGTCTCCACTCTGGTTCTGTATTATAGACCTGAAGCCTCTTGTTCTTTTCCCCACACAAACCTCTCATTTTCCATTGGCACTTTTCCCTCTCTTGTTAATGTCATCACATGATCTTTCTCTGCCATGTTCTTCTGTACATGACTGTTCATCATCTTTGGCTGGAACTTTGCTTATGCTCCTTGTTCTTGACCTGCTGTTCTGCAGCTATCCTGCTCTGTGTACATATTTTTGGTTCTCGGTTCTTCCCTGCTAAATTTTGGTCTGTCAGGGACTGTTACCTGTTTCTGTTTGATGCTGAGAACGACGCTATCCTCGAGTGTGAGTAGGAGATTGTTTTTGAAAAGTGTGCATAGTTGTCCTAAATATTTATTTTGGCTAATTGGCATAGCAAAATTTTTATCCTTGTTACAGCAGTCATTTAGCCTTTTAAGGATGGTCATTCTGAATGCTGGTTACTCTTCCATGACTAAACTTTGTAAATGTATAACTAAATATAAATATTTGCAAATACAATTGTACAACAATTCAGAAAATGCGTTTTAAGTTGAATATTGCAAAATTACTTGGCCTTGAATTTTTCCTACATTTGAAATAGGCAAAAATATTATAAATAAATGTAGTGTTATACATAGGAATAAATGGAGTGAGGTGTAGTAACATGAAGGTGTGGAGGCGCTGAGTCTCGCACATCTCTGCCGGACTATAGTGGGGTATGAACCTGAAAATCAAGTTAAAGCAGCAGAAAGGACAATCTGAGAAGCATGTGTGGGTGTTGGAAGAAAAGATCACCCTAGGAATGAAAATGTCATCAAGAGACAAGGAATGCAAAAGTTAATAGAGTGAAAGGTTGAGGAGAGCGTGCCGAGATGATTTGGCTTTGTTGAACAAATGGGTGTTGATAAGACTGGTGATTGAAGTGTATTTAAATGATTTTAATGATAGGAGGAGAAGAAGAATGTCGGGTAGGTAGGCGGATATGGTGATTGAGCACGAGAGGTAGCAGTTTGTAAGAAGGGAATTTACCTGAATTTTACCCAAGAGCCACTAAAACTAGTGGCCTCGCCGAGGACAGAAAGCCAGCAGCTTGTTGAAGGTTCCCCCCATTAGCCTTGATGATGATGATGGATGGATTTCTGCAATGAATAGGACAGTTCACAAGGAGTACTGTACACCGGGTCTTGCGAAGCAGTAGGTTGTTGTTGTGGATGGCTGCTGATGTGTGGTAGTGCTTATTTATCCATTATATTATATCTTGTAGTGTGAAGGATATAATGAATGGACAAGGGATACTTCTTAGTATATATAACATTTTGTTACATAGTTTATTTATTTTTTTTTATCTCCAAGCAGATGCCTCCTCACCCCATGAAAGTTAGAAACTGTAATGAATATGTTTGAATGTAATTTAAGTACAGTTATTTTTACTGTATTTTTGTAATCATTATAATTTTTTTGTAAACTGTTTAGCTCTTATTTTGTAATAGGAATTGTATGTAAACTGTCTTTCTCAGGGTGAACTTGGGACTTGTCTACCTATCTTCTTGGACCGATTACGGAACGAGATCACTCGCCTCACTACAGTTAAGGCCCTGACCAAGGTGGCAGCTTCTCCTCTCCGTATTGACCTGAGGCCAATCCTTGGTGATGCTCTGCCAGTATTAGCCTCATTCTTACGCAAGAATCAGAGGGCATTAAAGTTAGCAACGTTGACGCTCCTAGATACGCTAGTCACTAATTATTCCTCGTCTCTCAGTCCGCAGATGCTTGACAAGGTAAAGACATTTATATAGATTTAATTTGTATTTTTTTTGTCTATCCCTGTTAACACACTGTTGTGTAATTATGAGCCATATAGTGTAGAAAATGGATGAGGTACAGTAGCTTGTACACTTGTGAACCATATTTTGTGTAGAAAATTGAATTGAATAGTTTACTTGTAAACTATACTGTGTAGAGAACTGGATGAAAGGACTGTAGTTTGCTTAGTTGGAATAGATGATTGATTATTTGCTGTGGTATTTGATGTAGAGTAGAGTAAGTCAGAGTGGGAAAATGTTGTAAGTGGAGTGCCTTAAGGCTCTGTTCTGGGACCTCTGTTATTCATAATATATATAAATGATTTAGATTCAAGTTTGAGAAGCAGTATTTGCAAATTTGCCGATGATACAAAAATCGGGAGGGTAATAAACACGGAAAAAACTTGCTATCACTTCAAGACAATCTAAATAGGGTTTTGAAATGGTCAAAAGATTGGCAGATGCAGTTTAATGCTGACATATATAAGGTTTTGAGGCTAGATAATGATGATAGAGTTACAAGGTACGAGCTAGATGGTGTTGAGATTGTGAAGATGGACGGCAAGAGGGATGTGGGAGTCATGATTAGTAAGAATTAAAAAAAAAACAATTTATAAATGTTCGTAATAAGGTAAATAGGACACTGGGATTTATTTATCGAAGCGTTAGTGACAAGTCACCTGGTGTTGTTCTGCTATATCTTGCTCTGGTTAGGCCCCATTTAGATTATGCAGTTCAGTTTTGGTTGCCGTACTATAGAATGGATATAAATTCACTTGAACATGTCCAGCATACGATGACAAAGTTAGTCCTGCAAATTAGAAATCTGTCATATGAAGAAAGATTCACAAAGCTTATATTACATTCTCTGGAAAGGCAAAGAATTAGTGGTGACATGATAGAGGTGTACAAGTGGATGAATGGATATAACAAATGGGATATTAATAGGGTATTAAAAGTACCAACACAAGACATAACATGAAGCAATGAGTATAAATTGGATAAGTTTAGATTTAGGAAAAATCTGGGTAAATACTAGTTCGGTATCAGGGTTGTTGATTTGTGGAACCAATTACTGCATAACATAATAGAAACAGGATCCCTTGATTGTTTCGAGCTTAGGTTAAATATATATATGAATGGGATTGGGTGGATATAAATAGGAGCTGCCCGTATGGGCCAATAGGCCTTCTGCAGTTACCTTCATTCTTATGTAGTTTCCTCTACATCTTGTCCGTGAAAAGAGTAAAGTACTGCTGAGGATGTGTTTCTAGTGTGACAGTACTAGTTTTGTGTGACACATCTGAACACAGCTCTTGAGAAAGATTAGGTGTATCTAATGAATGTTGTGAAGTCTTTACCTTTGGTAATTTTCTGTGCTTTCATAATCGGTACTTTTGGCCTACACACACACACGCACGCACGCACACACACACACACCTGTGTGTGTTTGGACCTGTAAATTTGTAGACCTCATCCTGGAAACATTCTTGTATCAACATGTTAAACAAGCTACGAGGATGAGGGAAGGGGACGTTCCCTCCATGCTAGATTTGATATTTACCAGGAAGGAGGAAGAGATATTTGACATTCAGTACCTTCCTCCCTTGGGTAAAAGTGACCATGTCTTTTTGGGAATAAAGTATGCAATGCGTTATAAGCTGGAAGAAAATAAGGAGGTTGAAGCAGTTGAAAAACCAGACTTCAGGAGAGGACATTATGGTGACCTTAGAAATTTTTTTAGTGAGTATAATTGGACAGACTTGATGCTAGGCAAGGAAGTGAATGAGATGTATGGCAAGTTTTGTGAAATATATGATAAAGGCACAAAAAAATTTATACCAAAACAGAGATGCAGAACTAGGAAACAGGATTGGTTCAATAGAAATTGCGAGAGGGCTAGAGACCGAAAGACACAAAAATGGAATCAATACAGGAAGAGGCCGAACCCCCAAACATACCAGCGATACAAAGATGCGAGAAACAACTACACGGCAGTGAGGAGAGAGGCAGAAAGAAATTTTGAAAAAGGGATTGCGGACAAATGTAAAACAGAACCAGGTCTATTCTATAAATTCATAAACAACAAATTGCAGGTAAAGGATAATATTCAGAGGTTGAAAATGGGAAATAGATTCACGGAAGATGAAAAGGAAATGTGTGAAACACTAAACGAAAAGTTCCAAAGTGTGTTTGTACAAAATGAAATCTTTAGGGAACCAGATACAATAAGAATTCCAGAGAACAACATAGAACACATAGAGGTGTCTAGAGACGAAGTGGAAAAAATGCTCAAGGAGCTCGGTAAGAACAAAGCAGCTGGCCCAGATGGCGTTTCACCATGGGTTCTGAGAGAATGTGCATCTGAGCTCAGCATTCCACTTCACCTGATCTTTCAGGCATCCCTGTGTACAGGAATCGTAGCAGACGGGTGGAAACAGGCTAACATAGTTCCAATCTACAAAAGTGGCAGCAGGGAAGACCCCCTCAATTATAGACCTGTATCATTGACAAGTGTAATAGTGAAAGTATTGGAAAAACTAATCAAAACTAAATGGGTAGAACACCTAGAGAGAAATGATATAATATCAGACAGACAGTATGGTTTTCGATCTGGAAGATCCTGTGTATCGAATTTACTCAGTTTCTATGATCGAGCCACAGAGATATTACAGGAAAGAGATGGTTGGGTTGACTGCATCTATCTGGACCTAAAAAATGCTTTCGACAGAGTTCCACATAAGAGGTTGTTCTGGAAACTGGAAAATATTGGAGGGGTGACAGGTAAGCTTCTATCATGGATGAAAAATTTTCTGACTGATAGAAAAATGAGGGCAGTAATCAGAGGCAATGTATCAGAATGGAGAAATGTCACAAGTGGAGTACCACAGGGTTCAGTTCTTGCACCAGTGATGTTTATTGTGTACATAAATGATCTACCAGTTGGTATACAGAATTATATGAACATGTTTGCTGATGATGCTAAGATAATAGGAAGGATAAGAAATTTAGATGACTGTCATGCCCTTCAGGAAGACCTGGACAAAATAAGTATATGGAGCACCACTTGGCAAATGGAATTTAATGTTAATAAATGTCATGTTATGGAATGTGGAATAGGAGAACATAGACCCCACACAACCTATATATTATGTGAGAAATCTTTAAAGAATTCTGATAAAGAAAGAGATCTAGGAGTGGTTCTAGATAGAAAACTATCACCTGAGGACCACATAAAGAATATTGTGCAAGGAGCCTATGCTATGCTTTCTAACTTCAGAATTGCATTTAAATACATGGATGGCGATATACTAAAGAAATTGTTCATGACTTTTGTTAGGCCAAAGCTAGAATATGCAGCTGTTGTGTGGTGCCCATATCTTAAGAAGCACATCAACAAACTGGAAAAGGTGCAAAGACATGCTACTAAGTGGCTCCCAGAACTGAAGGGCAAGAGCTACGAGGAGAGGTTAGAAGCATTAAATATGCCAAAACTAGAAGACAGAAGAAAAAGAGGTGATATGATCACTACATACAAAATAGTTACAGGAATTGATAAAATCGACAGGGAAGACTTCCTGAGACCTGGAATTTCAAGAACAAGAGGTCATAGATTTAAACTAGCTAAACACAGATGCCGAAGAAATATAAGAAAATTCACCTTCGCAAATAGAGTGGTAGACGGTTGGAACAAGTTAAGTGAGAAGGTGGTGGAGGCCAAGACCGTCAGTAGTTTCAAAGCGTTATATGACAAAGAGTGCTGGGAAGACGGGACACCACGAGCGTAGCTCTCATCCTGTAACTACACTTAGGTAATTACACTTAGGTAATTACACATGCACGCACGCACGCACACACACACACACACACACAGTGTGTGTGTGTGTGTGTGTGTGTGTGTGTGTGTGTGTGTGTACTTGCACAATGAAATCGCGATTGTGTGATATATCTTATGAGACTATATTGAAGCTGTATGATGGGATCAAACCTTTGTACCTGAACTTACACCTTGGGCATTATGGTCCAGCTGGTAGTGGGTCACTAAAGAGTTCAGGTATTTGGGTTCGAACCCATTGTACGTGGTCAGTATTTTCTCAGAGTATAGTTGATGAGTCATAATGCTTTTCTGTGAAGAGCCCCTTCGGCTCCCCGGAGCTATACCGGGCTGATGTATATATATTAGACTGTGGCAACAGTCAATCGAAGGAATTCTAAGCCTACTGGGAACCAGAGCCAGAACCTGGCCCCCTGAAGAGAGGCACGAGGAGCAATGGCCTAAAGACACCCCCCGTGTAATTAGAAGCAGTCTTTGTCTGCCGTCTACCAGGTCAGGCACCCAGAAAGGTAGGAATTCCAAAAGAAACTACTGCTGGTCAAATAAATTGCAAACTGAAAGCCGAACTAGCAACAGAACTCCCAATCAAAACCAAGAAAGCAAGTATGATGTCACCAGAAATGCTGCGCATCCGTCTGCGCAACCCCCTCCCCCTCCACAGGAGGGGGGGGGGGGTCTCGGACCTCCATGCGGGCAACTCTCCTCAGTTCAAGAGGCTGTTGTGTTGGTGACAGTCAATCGCTCTCGCTCCACTCTTTGTGCAGTGCGGTGGTGTTGCTATGTTTTCATTGTGTGTGAGCCAGACGTAACACAAGAGTACTAGGGCTGCATGCACTTAGGGCCGCCTTCCCTAGGTGTCCTGTAAGTACTGCCTTTGCAGCTTCTGGGTTATCTTCTATGAGCCGTTCAGGAGCAGCTACCTCCGTGTCGTTCTGTCGCTGCTAAGTGATTGCCCGCCCTTGGGGATTCAGCTGGGTTGGTTCTTACTCCTGTTTCCCCTTGGGTTAGGAGGTAGTTTCGTCACTGGCAGCGAGGTACTGTGCAGCTGTCTGATATATGCATAACGACCGGTTCTGTACTCCTGGAGACGTTCTGCTTTTGCGGGGTTTTTCTTTTCTTTTTGTTTTGCCTGGTTGGGGTC